AAAATATTAAAGATAACAATGGAAATAGGAGGAAATACAGAATTTTATCTTCACAATTCACACAGTATTTCCCTAGCCTCGGGGAACTATTTAAACCCTGTTTATAGCAAAAAGTATGATCAAAATATTTATAAATGTAACATGACTTCCATATAAGATCTGAAAATTCTGGGGGGTTATGCAAAAAATACCAGCTACGGGAAGCAAGGGTTTTTTTCTTAAAAAAATAACATATTTTTGAATTAAAGAAACCTAAATTAATGCAATGGAAAAAATGAAGTCAGTTATAAATTCCTATGATCTTATGGGCTTATCTCAAAATGATAGTCAAGCTTTTGCTCCAGATGGTGCAATAGTGTTTGTGACATCCACTTTGAACTGCAATCTAGTTATGTGTCAAGCAGAAGAGTCCATTATTCACAGCATCAGTGCTGAGGAAAGAAGGTTAAAAGTTCAAGACATGCCCCAAGTGATTAAGGTTGTAAAAATCAGGAGATATACCATAGGGGAAAAAAATGCCATTCTTCCTTTTCTTCTGTATTCAGTTTATCCCAAAAAATGCGTTTAAGCAAAAATACCACAGGATGAAGGAAAGCTCCAATTCTCAATATTAATGCAAAAATTACCTTTTATTTGAACCCCTTAAACTCCTTTGCTACCAGCTTCACTTTTCCTGGAAAGAAACAGAAAGGCTTCCCTTAAAATCTGTCAGCAAGTTACAGGACTTGAGATCTCAATTAACACCATTTCTCACTCGCTGCAATACTCACTTCAGCTATTACATACTTGTAACTAACTTTGATTTCAAACTTTATTTTTCAAATATCCCACAGATCATCAGTTCATCTGGACTAGTCAGGTTTCACTTCTCAGTCATGTAAGCCTTTGATCTGCTAACCGGTAAGAGATAACCTACAGATTGTTTCCAACCACCCCAAAAGTTTCTGTATTTGGAACTGCAAGTACTGCTTCTCAAATAGTTGAGTAAATTTAGGGGGCTCCTAATGCAATATAACAGGAAAGAGGAAGACACAAAGCCTGAAGTGTGGAGCTAAAAAAATTTAGATTAAAAACTTTTGCAAAATTCTTTATAAAAAAAAAAAAAAAAAAAAAAAAAAAAGTGCTTTAGTTCTCAGAACCTTTAAAAAGATAGCAAATCATTCTTTTCAGAAAGGTATCTCATTTCAACAAATAGGTCAGAAAAGTAGAAGACTAATTCCCTGCTAATACATTATTTTTTCTGTCTGCTGTTTGAAATGCACGTTCAAACTAGAACCTCAGGAAAACTATTCTGACCACAAAGAAAAGAAATTATGAAAAAGAATAAATTCTGCTGATTTATGTAAAATCAAGGTTTTCTTTAGCAGCAATTACCCAGCCTTGGAACTAGAAAAGTTAAGTCCATGTTCCCACTTTTCTAACTCTCTGTTCATCTCATGAGTTCAACTGCTGGTTTTTATAAATTGCAAATGTATTGAGGCCACGTTGCCACATCACCTGTGAAATTATATCTCATATGCAGTAACTGAATTTCATAGATCCTGATAGCATTCAGACTCTGTATATATTTATAAACATATTAACATTTCAGAGTATGATATTGACAGTATATTGTCAAAGATCCCTATAATCCATCATGTCAGGGTCCCTGAACTAAACAGGCTTCAATAATACCTGAAAGCTTGTAAGAGTTACTTCAAAATGCACACAGAGAGAATCACGTAGTAAACTCCTGATATCCAAGACTAAACCTAGCATTCATCAGTAACCTGTGCATTACATTGAAAAGATCTACACACTACAAAAAACAGCTATATCACATATATCTGAGTACAATCTTCTGTAAACTCAAAAATCAGTTTAAAAATTTGTCTTTAAATATTGTGTGTTCCATATCACCTTTAGAGTTAGAATGATAAATGAAAGCCTATCAGCTCTCACATTTTAGTTCAGCAGGCTTCTTTGGAGAAGAGGAGGCTCACTCTTGCACAGCAGGAGCTGAACAGACCCACAGGAAGAATCCTCAAACTTTAGAAAGAAATTAGTACTAAAACCCACTCAACTTGAAGTAACCGTTGGAGCGGAGAGATTACTCAAGGCAAGTGAACTCTTATATGAGTACTTTGGAAATTAAAATAATAATGCTAGAGGGGGAAAACAAAACAAAACAAAACAAAACAAAAAACCCACAGCTACCTAAATCACTATTAAAAATTTCTCAATATCCAGTATATATATTACTCAAATTCTTCGATATTTTTTAATCTAGACTCAAAGCCCAATCTAAATACTGTGTTCAACTGCATCCCAGGAACAAAGTTTTTCTTTACTGTGTACATAAAGTTATACTTAGCTTTCTTACTGAAGTTTATGTGTTATACAATACAGAATATTAAGAATTAAACACTGTAGAAGCATTTTAGGTGTAAATTTTTTCAAAAAATATTAATAAGCCATTTATATTTAAGAAATTTAAATGCCTCAAAACCAGTAATGTACAAGAGTATTTGTACAGCCAAGCTAAAAAGGCAATCCTGATTTTATTGGAAATGTCATGCAGTTTTTATGTACTCCGACCTGACTTCAAAGAAGACCCTGTCAGGGGAATGAGCACACGTTACTCTTCTGTGAAATCCTACAAGAACACAGATGGCAGTGAGACCATGGTCTTAATTGATTTAAGGGGCAAGTTTATATCTTTAAAGCAACATTTTAGAACAGCAAAAAGCAAATCCTTTATGTGACACTTAAGCATGCCGTATTATACTTGGTTTTAGAGTGCCCCAGATTAGCACCACATATAAATACTCCAATGACATACAAAGCATCTTGTGAAAAAAAGAAATGCACACAATACAATATCATAAATGAGAAACAGCTGATCATAATTTATTTCCTGGCACAAGAGATATAGCAAGATAAAAAAAAATATATATATCTACAGCAGCTCTCAAAGGAAACACAAGACCCATTTCTCTATCCACCCAAAATACTACACAATCTAAAAGATTTGGGGATAAAATCTGTTGAGAAGACAACAAAATATGGCGTTACTGGACACCTCTAGGGAAGTGGTGATTGGAAGCTTATACAGACAGTTTTGTACATTTTAAATGCGCATGTTGATAGAAATGAAATGTCTTAATTGTTTAAAAACAAAAAAGAACTATTGTAGGGTGTCTTTGTACCTGATTATTTCCCAGAAGACAAATTCATACCAATCACAGGCTTTTCCTCACTGGATTTGTTCCTTGGGGCTTGCTACATATACTTTGGTTCGAGAGTTTTTAATTACACTTTAGCCTGTTAGCACCATGGGGCCAATAAAAATAAGAGAAATAGAACTAAATTCTTTTCATTCAACACGACTGTTAACTAAACACCAATTAATTATACCCACACAAGCCTAATGAAGATAATGGGGTTGCAGAGAGTTCACCAATGGTATGAAGTGGCTTGCAGTATCCTAACCTTAATCAGTTAACTACTTCATAATAGGCAGGATCATAGGATAAGTCATCCTCTTTCTACATGCTTACAATTCCTATTACTGTTAATGGAAATTACATGGCCATACAGATAATTCATGTAACGTTCACTTGATCAGGAACCAAAAATGATAAATTCTTGAGGAGAATCCTTACTAGTATTTCAGTTTATTTAAAAAAAAAAAAAAGCACAAGGTTATTTGTATCAGTCTGCTTCAGCTCATTGCTTTCCTAAAGGGAAATTCAACAAGTTTCTTTTCCCAGGCAGCTGATCAATATCCATAGAGCAATACATGAAGCTGTTTCTCCACAATGCATTTTATTTAGAGCCCTTTAAAGGCAGAAGCTGGGAAACTGATCGAGAGGCCCTTAATAAGTATCAGAGGGTACAGCTCTCGCATCAGGTTGTATTATCTGTTATGGTGAAGCTCTTGGAACACACCACCAGCATCGCTCCCTCCAGAAGTCTGTTCTTCCAGGAATATTTAATCAAACCAGAGTTTTCTGGGCCAAGCACATGCACGCAACACAGATCTGAGACTACTCTGCCCAGGTGGCAGTAGCAGAGTAGTAACACACCCAAAGGAGCCGCCACCCACCATGCAAACCTCTCCTGAACGAGGAAAATCTAACGAGGTCTTCGCTGCCTGCTCTCCTCAAGGAACGGGTAGTGTCAGTTTAGAAACTTCTTCCGAGGAAACCGCTTAAAAAAAAAGAGGGTTTAACTCTCTGGAGAGGTACCATACTATTTCTGAAGGATGTGAAAGGAAAAGAAAATGATTCAGTAGGGATTTTTCTTCATTATCACCCAACCTAGAGAAGTGAACACACAATGAGCAAAGGTCTACACATATTGATTTTAGAGCTGAGGAAGTGTGCAGCTAACAGCTTTTTAAGTATCTCCATTTTCAGTTACTTCAACAAAATTACCAATGAACAGTGTAACAAAGTGAAAGTTTTTGTAGGAAATTGCAGACTAAAAACGATCATTTAGGTTGTGAAACGTTTCTTTTCATTGAAAGTAAAGGGCTTTTAAACACAGAAGTAGAGTTACTGGGGCATTTTACAGCGTTATCCTCACTAGACATTTCACAAATCATAATCTGTCTCTCTTTCAGGACGATAATCTTACACAATTTTGTTGTTCAGAGACTTTTATAACTATAGAGTACCTGCTCGAGGCATTCTGACTTGGGAGACCATAACCAGCCTCTGAGGGAAGCGCCAACACCGCACGTTATTAAGAAAACCAAACCGAACCACCCCACCCCCGGCTCGCCAACCAGGCCCGGCTCAGCAACGCAGCTGGGGCTGGGTCTTCACCGGCGGCGCCGTTCACCCAGGGCCCCGCGGGCCGGGCCCGCAGCACCCCGAGGGGCCGCAGCACCCCGAGGGGCCCGCAGCACCCCGAGGGGCCGCAGCACCC